CCGCAAAATCAGAATTCAGATCTAAGGCCCAAAAATGAGCCGGCCAACTCACCTCAGCATTTTCCCTTATTTTTGCTGGTAAAATTCAGATATTGCAGAGAAAATGCCCCAAGGACCTTATCTCTGCAATCCGGACTGCCCTCCTAGGATCTAGGGGGGATGAGGTCATCATTGAGACCTGTCAGTCCCCACCGCTGCAGTCCTAACATGGCGGCACTTTTTCCTCGATTCATTCCTCCTCCTTTGTCTCATTCTCCCCCTTTTTCTCCTCTTTTTCTCTCCTTCCTCTCTTATTTCTGTTGGGCCAAGTGTCCAACAACTGTTTCTCCTCTTTCTAGCTGTTGGACCCAACCCAAGGTCTGATTTTGCAGCCGACATATGGCCGTTACACCTCGGACTGCAGTAGTGGCACCCCCAAGGTCCAAGGAGGCTCCTTTTTGCTGCCGCCGCTTCCAGTTTGAAACCCCCTTGCTCCGATTTCCTCCAGCCAGCCTTCTCTCCATGTGGAGCCCTCGGAACTTCGTTTTTCTTGGCCTGGCTGGTCCAGAATAACCCGGACTGCTGGCCGGCCTCCTCTACCTCTATCCCCCCCCCTCTTTTCCCCTCGTCACATCCCGCCTGCGCTTGCAGCGGCGACACTCATCATTTTCATTCGGACCCCTGGCCTGGGCGGTCCCGTCCACCTGATATTATGTTATTTTATTTTTATCGTTGTCGTACTTTATACAGGGTCCCCTTGGGTCACCCCGGGTACCCTCCGCCTTTCTCGTCTCACACCTGTCTCCTCCATTCTGTTGACAACTTCGATCAGCACCCGACTTCTCCTTTTTTTCTTATTGTTCCTGGCCCCTCCCCTTTTTCCGGCGTCATCCTGGTTGACGACCCGCTCTCGCGCGCCCTCCTCCTTGGGCTGGTCGCCGATTATTTCGCCGATGGCTCCGACCTTCAGCCCCGCCGGCGGCTCCCGACACTTTATACCGTCGATACCCATCTTGATAGTGGTTCCGTTGGTGCCGCCATTTTGTCTGGGCCCCCGCGGTCCCTGGCACTTCGGTCCGCCTGCATTACGTCTTTCCCTTGGTCTCACGCGGCTCCCGGTACTTTGCCCTGCTGGTACCGCCCCGTCCTTCGATCCCATGTGGTCCCCGACACTCCTGCCCCACCTGTACCACGTCTTTCCTAGGTGCTCCTGACGTCCTTCCGCCTTACAACGACCTCCGCTCCCTACTCCTATTGCGTCCCACATGCTATTCCGTTCCGGGTGCCGACTCCCACCTACCCTGCGGTCCCCTTGGCCCTCCTGCCGCCGCGTCGCGTCAGCGCCTTGCGTCCTATCCCTTCCCACTTCCTTCCTTCCCTTGTTGCACCCCTCCTATGTTGCTACCGACTTCCCGGCGGTCCTTCTCCGTCCTTGGGGAAGGAGTCGCCCCTGCTATTCTCTCACAGTCCTTTTGCCACTTTTTACTTAGCCAACCCATTTCTAGTCTGGCGGCACCGACGACTCTGGGCAGCCTCTGGCTTCCTACTGTCTGTGCCCATGCTTCCGCTCTTTCCGGCATTCCTGCCTCCGGTTTTCTCTGTCGTGCACAAATTGGTCATATACAGTCTCTCGAGTGACGGGAAGTCAATCGGGACTCACTTGTCCCGACATATTCCCGCCACTCATTCACGATGTCCTCATCGCGCACCAATCCAAAGTCAGTAGGAATTTTGGAGTGATAGACAGATAGGGAAGAGAGGTGGGGTGGGATGGGTAGTTAGCTTGCCAGGGTTCTTTTTGTCTTTCCCACTCTTTTCTCGGGTCCTTCTTTAAGTTTCCGCCCTTGGGGCGGGGGAGGGTATGGAGGGATCAAGGTTTTGTTTCAGGTTTCCTTTGAATTGCGTAACGTCCCCAAGCTCAATAATGTCTTTGTAACGGGCGCGTGACACTCTTTGTGCATCAACGTCCGTCTCACAGCTGTATCTCTTTCTCACTGGAACTCCCAAATACCCAAGAGCTTCCCAACAACCGCCGGTATCATCCCACAAAAGAGAGGACGACGAGCCCATCACCCTCCCCAGGGACCGCGGTAAGAGGAAGATTTTGGCGGCGAATGTCTCAAGGATCATTCGCCATGGCTTCCTCCAGGTGCGAGTTAGCAACACGTCAAGGAGCTTAAGCAGCTTGATGTCTCTTTTCCTTATCAAGTTGACTAGCATCGCCCCTTGGAGGGTTCTGACCACAGACATGCCCTGCAGCTAGTTTTTCATTGTACGTTATTCTCGCTCTCGACAATGTCTTGAAGGCTGCATTCGTAATCTCAAATCTATCTTCCCATTTCATTGAGAAAACATTCTCGAGCAAAAATCATTTTAGCTTTGTCTCATGCATTACTCTTAGGACATCCACTCATTTTCAATACAATTTTTCCTTTCCCCGAAGCTCAGACATAGTCAAATCCACATGCATTCTTCCCGGGTCGTTCCTCCCGGCCTTTCTTAGGTTCTGCCAATCCCGCATGCATATCATCCTCTGCCCTTTCTTGCCCTTTCCTCAATTGACTTTTCATGTCCAATGCTTGGTTCACCCCTTAGCCACTTCTCATCTTTTCAAGCTTATACGAGGCGATTACACAGCCAACTCTTAGTCTGCCAGTTCCAGTTCATACCATGTTGCTTGCTCAAGTCCTTTCTGCGTTGGCATCTTGCCAGGCCGCCTTTTCTCAGGCCTACACAAAGTTAATTACAATCTTTTTCTGTCCCGTCCATCTTGACAGACCCCTCTTTCCCAAGCTCATGCAAAATCAATTACAAGTCTTATTTTCATGCGTATTCATTGGTGGATGGCACACCTTCCCCCCACTCAAAACTCGATGTCCCCATCGCGCGACTGGTTCTCACTCGGAGGTACGCAGTCCTTTGGCCCGCCGACCGCAAGTCAAGGACACAAGCCCATCCGCTTCACAAAAGGAAGAGTGATCAGTTCTTCCCGAGCATACGACGCCTCATCCTTCTACCCGGTCCGACCATTCTTCTCTTACATGGCGAGCACCAATACCAAGGTTCCTCCTCAAGTCTGCCAGGTAGGTCCAATCCAAGCCTGCCAGGGCCTCGCATAGCCGTAAGAGTGTTCCTCGCGAATCGTCCCTCCCGAGTGGTAATTTTCTGGATTCCGGCCTCTTCCTTTCAAGAGAGTTGGGGCTCTCGACCAGTCCGTGAGTGCAGTTACGAAGTCCTCGCAATTAGTCCCGAAACGGTTGTAATGTTCCGGCAGGGCAGTGTCAATGCCCCGTGGTGGTGGCGGACTCCACCCGGTACCTCGCCCGCCTCTCCCCTTGGACAGTGCTGCCCAACTTAGCGCGCGCAACCGTGGTCCGACCCAAACGGCCATGCCACCCCTCTATGACATGGCGTGTGGTTGGAGAGTAGCAAAATAGACTAGATGAGAATGGTTTTCCTGCCCATTTGGCTCTCTTGCCCTTTGACGTTTAGGCATTCAACAGGAGGCGCAGTTGGAACTCCCCGGCTAGAGCTCATTGTCGGAGGTGGTTCCGGACGTCCCGCACCGATCCAAGTGGTAGGTGCCTTAGTCCTTTAACTCTCATCCTCTTACAAGAGGAACAGGTCGTGCTGAGACTTTTTCCCTCAAGGAGATAGAGGTCTTTGGGGTCGCGGTGCATGCGCCGGTATCCCCCTCTTGCTGAGGCCAAAGACTAGAAGAAAAGAGAAATTCCATTTCAAGGCTCTTTCCAGGTCCATTTCCAGTTGCCTAGGGTCCCCTGTTTATGCAATGCCTTTTCCAATGCTCAATTCAATTTCGATGCTCAGTCTCATTCCCAGGCTCAATCTCAGTTCAGTGCTCATTCTCGGTCCAATGCTCAATGCAATATCCCTTCTACGGCTGAGTCCAATATCTCTTTCAATGTCTTTTCCAAGGCTCAGCTCTTCCAATCTCTTTTCCAAAGTTCCGCTCTTCCAGTTCCATGCATCACATGCAAGGAGACCCCAGTGCCATTTCCAAAGAATGACCCTTGTCAGGGGCCATTCCGAACAACCTAGTTAGGGTCGTTCTTTCCATTTCCAAGTCGAACAGCCTGGTTAGGCCATTCTTATCCATTGCAATCGAACAGCCTGGTTAGGACCATCCTTATCCATTTCAATTGGGCAGCCTGATTAGGGTCATCCTTGTCCATTGCAATGTTAGCGTCCGCGGGGTGAGCCTCGAGGACACGGATCCTATCTCGTCTCGGGGGTTAGAGGGCGGCCATCGTCTTAGGTTTTTACACATGCTCCTTCCTTTCCCACATGTCTTTTGTCATTCTTACATCCATCCATACATCCGACTTAGCGTCTAGTACCCAAGTTGAGGCTCGCGGCCCCAAACAGCACTAGCCCGCTCGGCCGTTCAACCATTGCAAGGGGTGTTGCATCATTTCAATGTTTCCCTGCCACTTTTCTGACTTCTCATATGCTTCTCAATGCTATGGGATTGCCTGGGGTAGGTTGGATTAAGCTCCTAGGGGAAAGAGTGCCTCTCTACCCATAGGTCCCCTAACCTCTCACAAGGACTCGTGGAGCGACTCATTCAATCATAGATACATAACTCAAGGGAAAAACTTTCGTCATGAATGTTTCTTCCAACGTTCAAGAGTTCACATGCCGCTGCCCATAAAGTCAACCAACCCCCAATCCCTTTCTTACTACCCAAACAACTCATATTTCCCAAACGGAGGGAGTACTTATACAAAGTAGCCCTGATCACCCACCCTCTACTAGCTCCCTCGATCCAAAAAGTAGTTTCATTGCAGTCCTTACAAGGAAAAATAAGGAGACAGAGTTCGAATGCAAAGACAATATTACAGACTCGTCTTCGTCCAGATCCCCGCTGTTTTCCCTTTTTTCGTTCCCTTAACCTACCCAGCCATCCATAATTTTATTCTAAGTGCAAAAACCCTCATGCCTTTCCCTGAAGAAGCAGCCATTCGTACGAAGTAGCGCTGACTACCCAGTCCTTAGTCACTTCGAGCTTAGAAAATTCATTCACAAAAAGAGTTCAAATGCGAAGTCCAAAATGGCAGCTCTGACTGCCCAGGGACCAAACCCTCCCAACTCCTAGCTATTCCTTATTACGACTGTTGTGCCTCTATCGTCCAAGTGGCCTGCGTTGAGCCTCCCTCCTTGCGCGATCCTCCATTTCCTGCTCCATTTGCCTCTTTATTCCTTGAAACTGGAGGAGTGTCCGTTCTGTGAAGAAGGTTGTTGGGGATAGATCCTCTCCCCTGCCCAGCTTTTCCCTCGCCTTCATAATCCACTGATATCGCAAGATAGTCCCCCATTGATCAAACCAATCGCTGAACTCAGATCCGAACTCTTCTATCCATTTGTCCTTTTTCTCACCCGGTTGCTCCCCTCTTCCCCGTTTTTCCCTTGTGGGCGTTGTTACCTCATCTTCCTCCTCGTCGGTGGTGAGGTCGATAAACTCAACGGGCTCGTCCTCTCCCGGTCGTTGTCCCTCTTCTGGGTTCCCCTCCTCCAGCCTTTGCCTTTTTTTCGGGTTTCCCTCTTCCTTGCTACTAGGGTCACTGTCTGATGACAATTCTATTGGCTCTCCTTCCCTTAGCGGCGATGGTCCCCTGGTTCCTTGCTTTCTGCGCCCCCTGTTCACAACTAGGTTGTGATCGAACCCCACATACAACTTCCTTTTCCTGGAGCTTGACTGTCCAGCTTGCCTTGACGACTGTCCTTCTTCCGGCCTGTTAATTGCATTGCTGTCATTTTCATTCCCAAACTCCATTTTTTTTGTTTTCTTGCTGTCTTTCTTCTTCTTGCCTGACCCTGTTCATACATAACAATCACGGTACCCCTCATACACACGCATTCCCTTCCACTCCCATTTGCGGCTTTGGAAGCTTCCCTAGAACTCTTGCTTGCCCCCATATAGTTGGTAGCCCCATTATCCCTTAGAACCCTCGACACAGTGTCCCAACACATAGGTGTCCCATGTAGGCAGCCCACAGCATCACCCCACAAAAATTATGGTACATTGTCCCAGCACATAAATACCTTGTGTAGACGGTCCCCAGCGTTACCCCACAAACACTATAATACACTCTCCCAGGCCCAGTCTCAGTCAGCCCAGGCAGTCTCCACACGTTCCACAAAAGTCAAGACACACAAACGAACAATCCCTGTGGTCATGATCACATCCACAGGGAGGCGGTCCATAACTTATAGCCAGCTGCCTGCCTTTCAGGCTGTCAATTCCCCAGTTTCCCTGTCCTGAGCCTCTTGTAGCCACTGTTCCACCGGATCCCTGCTAAAAAATCTGACCAGTCTCTGTCCCGGAAATGACCCTCTTATGCTAGTACCATCGAGATCCTCAAGTTCGAATGTGTTCAGTCCCACCTGCTTAGCGATCCTGTAAGGCCCTTTGAATTTTTTTCCCAGCTGCCCGGACCATGTGCTTTCAAGAGCCGAGTTCCTAACTAGCACCTTTTCCCCCACCTGGAGTGGCTCCTTCCGAATGTTCTTGACCTGGTCCCATCTTGCTTTATCCCTCATTCGGCTATCCGTCACACGATTGACTACTTCCTCGAGTGCCTCCTCATTTCTGGCGACTTGCTGACAACGTGCGGTGATTAACTCTTTCGTGCGCAAGTGTGGGTCGTCATATAGCCTGTTCCAGGTAGGGACCAACGCTTCTATCGAAAAATCGATCTTCCTTCCATACCAGAGTTCTGCTGGAATACATTCAAAGTCCGGTGACCCCTTTCTACTGGTGCATTTGCCTCGGGATGGTAGGGCTCGGTGATCTTGATCGGTACACACAGTGTCTTAAGCCTGTTCAACACTTCCTGGTTAACGAATTTTGTCCCATTGTCTGCTATAAACCTGCGCACGAAGGGGTGCCTTAGGTAAAAATCTTCCACCCAGTCGGCCACTTGTTTCCCCGTCTTCTTGTTGAGAGCTAGGGCTTCTACATAGCCACTGAGATTATCTCTTGCATCCAGGATGTATCTAAGCCCATCCGTTGATACGGGCATAACGACAAGGTCGAGGTGAACCAGGTGTCCGGGTCCCAGTACCCGGGTGGGTCTAAGGGACTCGTAAACTCGTACGACGCTCCTCTCTTGACATATCAGACACGTCTGACAATACGTTGCGACCATGCCTGCCATCCCTGGTCAAAAGTACAGGGGCACGATCTTTGCCAATGTCCCCTTTGACGACCGGTGACCCCCACCTAGCCCATCATGCATTGCCTGAATTACGTCCAGCTGCCTAGACCTCCCACAAATGACGCGTCTAGGTGTCATCCCTTCCTCTTTCTTAAACAGGTGGGCATTTCTTATGACATACTTTTCGACTTCCTCCCTTGCCTTGGGACTGACTTCCATGGGTTGTTTGTTCCCTACAAGCAACATACCGATTTCTTTAAAGACGCCCTCGTACATCTGTATGAGGAAGAACTCATGTTCCTTCTGATCTGTACCCTGTTCCTCCCGAGTGAGGTTGACTACGTACTGACACTCTTTTTGCGCCCAAGCTTCGGCCAACGTCATCACGGCGTCTCGTCCCCCCTCCACGGTCATTGCCATCAATTCCTCTCTGGCCCCTACTTCTGCTCCCCACGAGTCCTTTTCCTCCTTGCGCCCGACCGAGGTGACTGGTCCTTCCCTGAGTTCTGCAACTACTGGGGGCGCGCCTTTTTCCAAGGTATGAATCAACAACTGACCTGTTGTAATTGCTGGATCTGCCATCTCATTATCCACAACAAGGGTCCCTCCTTCGTACTCCAGGAAGGCGTCAATTGATTCCACGTCCTCTACTCCTTCTGGCGTGATGCAAACCCTGCTCAACCCATCTGCCCTATTTCGAAGCCCTGCAATTCGCTCGACCTTATAGTCGAATTGCCATATGAAGCCTATCCATCTGCCAACGGTCTGATCTATAGGCTTGTAGTTCTTTAGGGTTCCGGCCACGTTGGTGGGATCGATCCTTAGGATAAATCGGCTTCCGAACAGGTATGCCTGGAAGGTCTTGAGACAATGTAAGATTGCTAAGACCTCCTTCTTAAACTGCGAATACCGTCGTTCTGCTGAATTCAGGGTCCTACTTTCAGATCTGATTGGTCTTTCTTTGCCCTCCTCGCTTCTCTGTATCAACACTCCTCCAACTGCCAGTGGTCCCCCGTTTGTTTCTAAGATGAAGGGTCGTCCTACCTCGTCATTGAAGCAGGGTGCTGCTAGAGTGACCTGGTCGGACGATAGGATGTCTTTCAGGATTTGGGCCGCCGCTTCCCTATCCTCGGTCCAATCCATGGTGCCGCCTTCCCTAATCATTGCGCGGATGGGCTCTGCTATCTTTGTAAATCCTCTGATGAAGATCCTCCAGAACCCCACCACCCCTAGGAAGGCTCGTACTTTCGTCGTGGTACGCAGGGGTGTCGGCCATTGGGAGATCTTATCCGTCTTTGCTGGGTCGGGTCTCCTCCCGTAAGCTCCGCAACGAAATCCCAGTATGGTTACTTCCGGGACGGCCAGGATGCTCTTGGGTCCGCTCGCAGTAATATTGTAAACAAGGAATCGCTGGAGTAGGTCCTTAATATCCTACAGGTGGTCCCAGACAAACTTTCGTACGCCCGGCTCGATCTCCGTCTCGTCCTTGTACCTTGCGCCTTTTACGGGATTATCATCTATATACGGTTCACACTTTTCCGGAAATATATCCCCTGCGACGGCGAGCATCCTTCTCTGCGCCTCTGCTACCGCATTTGTAAACCCCATAGCGGTCACTTGCATCTGCAGCTGCCCTACGGGGGTGTGCATTGCAGTGTACGATCTATCCCTCGCATCGAGCGGCAACTGATCATATCCTAAGTACAAGTCTACCAGGGAGTAAATACTCCGCCCCGCATGGGATTCTGCCAACAAGTCGGCCTGTGGAAGCGAGCCTGCGTCCCTAATTGTTACCGCATTGAGCTTTTGCAGGTCCTGGATCCACCTGAGCGTCTTATTGGGCTTCCTGAACACGAACCACTTGTTCTCGTAGGGGGATGCGGTGGGTTCAACCACGAAAGAATCTATCTTAGCTCTAAGCAGGTCGGTGACCTCCGCTGCTATCCCAAACTCATAGGCGGGCCCTTTATCATTCCAACACTCGTGCTGTACGGTGTGGATCCTGACAGGGGGAACTAGCTTTGCGTCCAATCGCCCTTTCTGATGATCGTTGAAGGCGAAGGCTAAATGAAACTCCTGGCATGACTTTTTTATCAACTGAGTTTCTTCCGCTGTTAGAAACCCTTCCACTCCTATTTTCATGGTATCTGCTACCTCGTCTGGTATGCGATGCCCTTCCATTGCGCGTCTCTCCCTTATAACCCGTAGGATCTCCTCCTCTTTTTCCATGGCCTCTTCCTTTGATGTTTCTACTAGGATCGAGACCGGCTTGGCCTTCTTTCCTACGGGTTTGTATTTTCGCACACTGCCTTCTGGGATCGTTCTCCTAAAAAATGAACAATCGGGATTGGCCTTGCTATTTCCATGATACGGGGCTGAATGCTAACTATCTTCCCATTCAGGCAGTAGCCTTTTCGAACCTCATCCTCAAACTTGGCAAGCCCTGCCGGGTCCACTCCCACCTTGTGGTACCTGATTGCCTTAACAAGTTGCAACAGGTCTGGGATTTCGAGCGCTAGCTCGTGGGGCTCGTTACGACCTTCCTTTGGCTTGGGCAGGCTGGCCCCGAGTTCAACTTCCTGCTCCTTTTCCGCCACCATAACCCCCAGAGGCTCGTCCTCTGGCCTCCTCTTTTTTACGGGCAGACCCATCTTGATCCATTCCTTTTTACTAAAAGCCTCCTCGATCATAATTTCTACTCTTTCCCTCATGCCTTCCATTCGTGCGAATGCCCCCTTCCGCGCACTTTCTTCGAATGTTGGAGACCAGGTTGCCAATTTGCCCTTCGGAAGGTCCCCTCCGGTCCCAAGAAGTTGGAGGAGTTCCCCGCGGCCGGTCACTGGGTCCTCAATGTTTACCATGTATGTGCCGTCGTGCAGGTGCATTCCTATCATTTCCACATTGGCGCACCACTGTCTCCCGAGGATTACGTCGTGATCCATTTCCTCCATCGCGGTCATCCGCTGAAAGGACCAGATGGATTCTCGGATTCCCGTCCTGACTGCACATTTGGTGACATACCCTGTGAAAGGAATTTCGCCAACGGCTCCCCGGATACTCCCTGCTACTTCCTTGTTTACCTTGCACCCCATGACTGTTGCAAAATCTTGTCATATGAGGGTAATTTCTGCTCCGCCGTCCACTAACGCGTCAGTGTGGTGAGTTCCGATTTGAACTTTAAGTTTCCCAACTGGTAGTGCATGAAAGCTAAGCTTTGTCCCGGGTGGTGCCCTCATGACTTCGCCACCTTCACGATCCGGTAGGCTTAGGCGGAGATCTGCGAAGGCTTTCTTCATATCTCCCAGGCCCCCTGGAATGCTTTGGAGGTTGGAGAATCCTTGCGGTGCCTCGGCCTCCACCGTGTCCTGCTCTTGCAGTTCCGGGGCCTCCTCTATCTCTACGCGCTTACGCGTTAGCAACTGCGTGAGTCCTTTAAGCAGCCTTGGGCTGGCTTGCAGCATGGTCTGAAAAGACACCGATACCATGGTACCCAGTAGCTTACTCAAGGTGCCATCGATTTCTGGCCAAGTCGGGATCGGAATTTGATACCTGAACTTCTTTTTTGCGGCCGTAGACTTGTCTACCGGTTCGTCCTCCCTTGGCTTCCCATAGACCTTCTCTTGTTCCCCGACTTCGGTCTCTTGCTGGCCCGTGCTAGTCCCTGCGAGTTCCTCCATTACTGTATCTTGAATAAGCTTATTTTCTGCGTCGGTCCGGCGAGTGGTGATATTTACCCTATCCTGGCCATTGCCTTCTAGGATAAAATTGGCCTGTGGTCCCCGTCCCCTTGGCTGGTCCCAGACAATGTCGGCTATTGGCTCTGCTTATACGGCAGCTATCTCTAAGTTATTCAGGAGGATGACGGCTCGCCGCATCCCTCCTGACGAGTTCCAATTGACACGCTCCCCCCTGGGTCCGAGGATCTCGCCTTTGAGGGACCTACTGCACCTCTGCCACTCGATATCGTGATTGAGCCTCGGACAGGCCCGAACGAAATGCCCGATCATGGTGCAATACTTGCATTGTTCGTTGGTCGGGTCCCTCCTGCCAAACCCCCGGTTTGCTACAGCTGCTGGAACCACGGCCTCTTGGGGCGGGAGGGCGGGYCTGGACACTTGCGCCTGCATTACTAACAACGCATTTTCCATTCTGTCCATCTTGCTGTCAACCTCGTGCACCCATTCGTGCACGCTCTCTATCCCCTTCTTGACCTTATCCCCTGTCTTCCCGGTCAGATCTATGACCTCCAGTTCCTTAAGCAGGGCTAGTGTCTCGGTGACCACTGTCTTTTCCGCAAGGTCTGTTACGGTGTTGAAGTCCACATCTCTCGTGTACTCGAACTTACTGGTCTGCTGGTATGCTGACAGAATCTTATCCTTGTCAAACTCGGAGAACTGCCTGAGGAAGTATTTACTCATTATGCGGTCCGTTACCCCGGGAATTCGCAACGTCACTAACATAAATGCCCTTAGGAAATCGTTGTAAGTCGCATAGTTTTTCCTCTTGACTGCGGCTAATTCGGCCTCTGCTGCCATTTTTTCTGTCTTCCGATATTTCCTCATCATCTCATTCCTAGTTTCTTTCCAGGATCCACTGGAGGCGACGATGGCCATAATGTCCCTTCCCAAGCTTAGCGACACGTGTTGCCCTAGGTGCTCAATCTTTTCCTCTATCGTCCATTTCAGTAAGGCTGCTAGGTTCTCATAGTCTATCAGAAACTCCGTAATGTTTGCCCCGTCGAACGTGAGTTTCTTCTTTGCATCTGCGAGGTACCCCTGGTTTTTGCTCAGTGACCGGGTGAGGGTGGTGACTATCTTCTTGAGCCCACCTTCGGAGCTACCCCCTTCCCCAACTGCACTAGTCCCTTCTCCCTCCTTGCTTTCCCTCTGCTTCTCCCTGGTTTTCGGCGTTCCTCTGGGTCAAACCATCCTAGCACCCTTTCCCTAAGGTTCCAGAGTCCGTCGCACGCCCCCGTTACTTTCGGCGTGGCGGGCAGTCGGCTAGTGCTGCTGTCGATGGCAGGCGGGGTCATAGCGTTTTTCATCCCCTCCGCTGGGGGGTCGTTCTTGTCCTTCCCCTTCTTGCTAGGCGTTCCTTTGTGGCTATTATCCTTCTCCTCATACCTGGTCTCGTCCTGACCGGCCCTGCGTCCCTCTCGTGACCCTGCGCCCTGGGGGTCCTCCTCATCCTCGACCATCATCTGCTCGATAAGCCTTGCCTTAAATTCTGCTGTCTGTTTTTCTCTCTCTGCCAATTTACGGCTGGCATCCGAGACTTTTGTCTTTTTAGGGGTGGCTCCTGCTGAGTTCCGAGGGCTTGTTCTCATATCGTTTCCCCCTTCCCTGTTTTCCTGAGGTCCCTTTTTGCTACCCCCAGCTTTCCCCGAGCTTTCTCCAATTGAGGCGTCCTTTCCGTCTTCTCGGGTTCCTTCCAGTTTGGCTGACTCTCGATCCCTGGTTGATCCCTCGTTTCGTTCCCCATCCCCATTCGTGCCCTGATTCCCTCCGCTCTGCTGGTCATCGATCCCTTCCTCAGTCGCCATTTCTTTACCTAGCCTGCACATGAAAATTTTTTTTGCGAAAAAGTGGTCGGTTGTTCATAACTGCCCTAGTCCCGGTCCTAAAACCCGCCTATTCCCATGTTTTTTTTTTTTTTGCGTCTTATATTAATCGGCCCGACTTTCCTAACTTTTCTTTCCCAGGGCGTCCTTCGGTTTTTTCTCCCGCCGGGGGACTTGCCGCCGCTGCTTGGCATTTTATCACTGTCGCGCTTTGGCTCTTAGGGCGGTGTTTGAGCCCAGTGACCTCCTTATCGAGGGTGGCCCTTTTGGCTTTTCGACCTCCAAATGCCCCAGAGTTTTCACTTGCGGGTGGTCTTCCTAGTTCCTCCTTGCCGCGCTATCGGGTCGGACGAAACTCCAACCACTGCCCCCTCCATTCACTGATGGCCGCCTACTTATCTTAGTACCCATCCTTAATTTCCCTATTTCTTTCTGACGCGTTCTCTCATGCTGGTCCCTCAAGCCTGCCTTGCTCATCCGGTTCTTCGAACAGGTCGGCCACCCCAGCAAGGTAATTTTCCCCCATCTCTATTTCCCAGATAATTATTGGCTCATATTCTTCAAACAACAGGTGGGGCAATCCGAATATCAAGATCTCGAGTAATTTGAGTAGTTCCCAGACCTGATTCCCCCAGAACGGCCCATGTCTGACCGACACATCGTAGAACATGCTCGTTGTTTGTGGCCGGAAGAGGTGGATCCAGACCATGGTCGAGTCCACCAGGTCCCTAGCTCTCTTGAGGCTACCGAATACCAAATCCACCATGAAACGGGGTACTCGACACCTCAACCCGGTCATTGGGGCCTAAAACTCTCGCCACCCTCCGACCTCCACCCGGGTTCTTAATCCCACGTTTCTTCTCCCCCACACTTCCTGGCCCACCCTGTTCAACACCCTAGTAGCCCTCTGGAAGATCGGTAGCAACCCGTGACCTAGTGCTAATTCCGTTCCTAGCATGTGCCATCCAAGTTCCGGCAAGTATCTGGTCCCCGTTACCCTAAGGTCGGTGTATAGATCGTCTCCCGGTCCCCTGTTAATCCTCATATCATCCCACAAACATTCCACCATCATGAACGTCTGTCCTCTTCCCAGGGTCACGGCCCTCCATTCGATGTCCAATCCTTGGATCATGTAGCTCGCTGGGAGCGATACCTCCCATCCGCCTCCACTTTCCGTGGGTGGCCGCGGGTGTGTGAACCGTCGCAGCATCCGGGCGCGTCCCATCGCCATTTTTGACTTAGTAATCCCCTGCATAGTTTAAACAGCAAGCGGTTTTACTTATTTCATTTAATCTTCAGCTTCCGCCCGAACACTCCCCGGTTTCTAGCTTGAACCTTCCTTTTCTTTCCTTGACCTCTTTTATTGGTCTGTCCCTACGTCCATCGGCTCATACAATCGGTACAGATCATCTACGTACACCATCCCTTGACTTATCTCCCATCGGATGACTCCCCACAGGACCTCACTTCCCACGACCGGAGCCCTCGGCCTGGTGCTAAACACGGCACACAGGATGCGCAACACCTCATACTTCTGCTCTCCACTAAACGGGCTCATTTCTAGGAAGGCCCGATAGTATTCTCGATGTACCATTGCCTCTTCGTATGTCAAGCTTGCGAGGTCGGCTACCGCTCGTCTAACAAGTCCCAGACCGCCCAACCTTTCCAGCAGGAAGGGCGGCAGCCTCATTCGTACATTTTCATTGGGCAATTCAAAACTCCCGACCATGGCTACCCTAAGGTCCGCTGTTACATCGTCAACCCCCGGATCTGCGAACTCAAATCCCGCTCGCCATACTAACTGCCATGCCCCTTCAAACATGCTCAACGGGTCTTCTCTTGATGCCAGTCGAACCCCGAACTCCCTCCACCCAACCTCTGATACATACAGCCGTCCTTCTGCACGCACATGCCCCCGCGGGTCCGGGTTCCATTCCCCATTCTCATCCGCACGCCACTCAACTTTCGTCACCAAGTAGACCATATTTTCCGCAAGCTCGACCCCGACCCAATCTGCCACGTGGTGCCAGCCTTCACTTGCCGCCGGCAAGCTAACCTCTACCCCACCTGGTACTTCCCTAGGTGGTTCAATGCCCAAGGGGCGTTCCTCGAGGAACGTCCTTCTTCGCGCCATCACGCGCTCGCCTTTGAATCTCCTGACTCGTGATCCGCCCCGAACCCTACAATGGCCAGACATCCTATTCCCTTATCTTAGCAACTTTTTCCATATTTGCCTGGCCACACAGCTTTCCCGCTTTTAGTCGAACCACAGTACCTCGAACAGTTTGAACACATCATCCACATAGCAAGGTGTTGCTGCTACCTCACGACGGATTATGGCCTCCCTAGTTTCCGGGGCCACCTCCTGCCGGTCATTCCTTTCAATATCCAAAATGATAAGGACCTCCCGGGCTCTATCGCCATGGAAGGGCCCATATTTCAAGGACGTCCTATAGAATTCCCCCGCCAGCCATGCGCAGTTTACGTGTATTCGCTCCATTGCGTCGGCTACCTCTGTTACGTGATCAAAACCCCCAAACCAGTCCGCCACGAATTCGGGCACCCAAGTCTTGATTCGGGCACCCGGCGGTTTCTTTCCATCCTCCCATCACAACTCTACTGCTGACCGTATCCCAACCTTTGTTAGCAAACTTTTCCCTCGCCTGCCGAGCCCTTGCCTCAGCGTCCCCTAGAAGCCACATTGGGTTCTGTCCTGCCTCGAGCGTTGTGCAGAACAGGTGCCAACCTTGCTCGGAGAGAACGATCGTCCCGACTGATTCCACTCTTCCTTCCGCAATCTCTTCCCATCCTTCCTCTTCCCTCAACGGGTTCCAGACGCGCTTTATCCATAGGTACGATAGCTCCGACACAATCTCATACCCCCGCCAATCACATGTGGTCGCCTTCCATTCATTGCTCGGCGGTATTGACATCTCTACTCCCCTTCCGACTCGTCTTGGTTCTCATGTGCAGCCCCATAGTTCGAGTTCCCGGGCCATCGCTCCCTACCTGCACATAGTCGACAACCCATTTCCCCCAGGTAAGCCCCCCCCTTCAGAAGTCCTAGTCCTCTATCTCGTCCCCGTCCTCCTCGTCACTGAAATCCTCCTCCTCGTCTAGGAACATCTCTTTCACCCCTTCCAAGAAGGTTTCCCCCGCCGCCACGTTTCGGTAAACTATCTGCCAATACACCAGATTAGAAACAAAGACTTCGTCTGCGCTGAGGAGGTTTAACACCTCAGCTAATTCTTCCGCCCAGTTCCCTTCAAACGGCCCTGTTTCCACCGACAGTTTAAAGAAGTCTTGTCTAGCACATTGGTACAGCCTCAGGCGTGTCATCGATTGGCATATACGTTTCAGTCTATCCCCGGTCCCAAAGACTGCATCCACCAGAAACGGGGGTAGCACGCACCTCATTGTCCTAAGAGGGCGTCTCATAATTTTCCGGTCCCCGAGTTCCAGCCGCACCTCCATCCTTTCCATCTCCATTTTTGCCCTCTGACATGCTGCCCATACCACTTCCCGTTCTGCTTGCCTAAACAGCTGATCCGGTGTCGTGCCCAATACTGGTCCCACTACCATTGCATTTTCCAATTCCTGTGATAGGTAGACCCATCCTCGAGCTTCCACTGTTCCCCGGAATTCTAGGTCCATCAAGCTAGGTGAAAGTCTCGTCAGGCTGACCTTAGTCCAGATTGTCTCTATCCAGAGGAACGTGTCCTTCTCGTCCAGCATCACGGTTTCATAGGCCAGTTCTAGGTCGGTCCACGTCCCTTCTTCCGGAAGAACAACAGATACCCCATCCCTTACTTCTATAGGCATTTCCGGACCACTAGAGTAGACAGGAGACAACAACCATCACGCCATCTTGTTTTCCCGGCGCTTGTCCTGTTTCCCACACGAGAGCACCACACAGCCCCTCATGGTCAGATGGTTTGCCTTTCCCTTTTCTAGATGAGAGTTGTTTTCATACCCCTCACCCGGGTCTTCCTAACTTTTCTTATTCATTTCCCAAGTGCCATTGCCCTACCATACCCCCAATCGATCACCAGCCGTTCGCATTCCTTTTTTTTTTCTTGATTTCACTCTCTTCCGACTCCTATCCAGCTTTTTCCTCATGTTCTCTCACTCGTGCAGACTTAGGCAGGGGTTGAGAATAGACTAGAAATTCGGTCCCCATCCAACACTCATCAGGCAACTTTACAGAGGGAGGCACAAAAAATAGAACTCGGGCAATCGTCACACACAGGTCGGTCATCTCCTCACCGACCTCTTCCCTGGAAATGGTCTCTCCATTGTTACTATCGGCAGGGCTTTACCCCATACCTCAAGCACAGCTTAACCGTCGCGAGCGCGGTACCCAGGTCTCGGCAAGGCATTTGCCCTTTCCTCCTTACCCAAAATACCCCATCCCGACTTGCCACTCGTGTACCCACCGTTAATCTCGGGAATCACCCCGCACATCTCGGTGAGGCCATTGGAGCCAGCCGTCCAGGCATTCACTTCCATCGGTCCGACAAGAATCAATTTTTCCCAAGCCATGCCACGAGAAGCTTTTAATCGCCTCCGAGGCTCCTTCCTTGCCCCGTATGAAGTGGTCCCCCTACCGTTTGCCGACAAGCAGCCGCCCCGCCTGAAGACGTTTCACACCCCGCCTGGGCAAGGTCATCGAGCCATGCTCGGACCGCTCGGGTGAGAATGCTACTAATCAGCCGACGGGACCAACCCTAGCCTGACAGCCCGGTGGCCCGACCCCCACACACGGAACCCGGTGAACTTCAAAGAGGACAACCATTCCGCTCCCGCACCGGCCGGCGCAAACCAATCCTTTCCTTCCGAAAGGCAGGACGCTCGAAATCCCAATCATGCAATCACAAGTCCCAAGTGGGACACACATAGTACAAGTGCCTTTCCCTTGGTGCACCCAGCGCTTCCTACCCATTGCTCACAGCTTTTCACTCAAGACAGTGTGTGCCACTCACCCCTAACTTCCATACATAGTGCCTGGTTCCTTTTCGTGAGCATCTTCAAAGGTGAGCTAGTTTTTTTTGGAGTCTAGCAACTCCCTTCATTTCCTTATCTTTTGCTTGTGTGTCCGTTCATAGGGCAGGATTGTTCTTTCTTGATTACCATTTGTGTTCACATGAGGTTCCGTCAAGCATTTAAGTGCGGTGCACGTAGCCCGCTGGGCTCCGAAGAGGAGAAGAGAAGCACCCAGGTCAGTCGGATCACTCCGCCGCGGGATTTTCATTGGAACCCGGACTGACCCGGAATCCCAACCGCCTGCCAGGTAACCGGAGCCCTTCTTTCGCACGAAGAGGAAGGGTCGACCTGCGGCTTGCCCAGGGCTTCCCCAGCCTGACGATCATCAGTCCAAGGGAAGGAGGACTAGAGTCATCTCCAAGGGAGATGGCTGATCAAAAGTGCAAGCATGCATGTTCTTCCTCCAGGCCAGGCTTTGCCATGCGCCCAGCCACCCTCAAATCCGATTCACTCAAAGGGATAGAGCATACACAAATCCATATTCCTTATCTTCATGTTTATGTTCACGGTCATGCGTCCGGGGCCCCCCTCGAGACCGTATGGGTCAGTTTAACCCAATACCCGGCACCTCCACCATTTTTGTAGGGGTCGTACCCTGTAGGACTTTCGAGCCTTGGTCGACCCCGCTGCGGGTCCCAGTTGGCTCGACCCGCCCACGCTCATGCTCAGGGCGCGAGTCATTCGTCCCAGGGGCACCCCCACCTAGTGCTTTGAGATGGATGGGGATGGGCCTTTTTGCAAGAGGGCTTTACATTGGGGGATGTAGCTCCGCTCTCGCGTCAAGATGGTAGCTCTTTGGGCACTCGTGGCTTTTTCTTGATTCATTTAGGTCTAACCAGGCAATTGCTCCTTCCAATACGCAGGCAATTCAGGGGGGTTCATTGAAGTCTCATCTTCTTATGGTGCACAGGCCAAGCGTCATCCATTGGGCCACGCACCTTTTCACTAAGCCTAGCGGCTCTGGGCAGCCCCGGCGGCATCCTTGGGGTAAGGCGGCGTCGCCCGGACCCCTAGCCGCTATATTTTTTTTGCGAGAGCCATTAGCATCGCATCACCTATCCAAGACCGCCCTTAGTCTTTTCAGGGGTCTCATTGCACATGAGAGAGACATTCCATGCAACCTCCACACAAACCAAGTCCATGCATCAACCATCCGCCCAAGCGCCCGGCCGCAACTCATCCCGCATCCATGGCTTAAGCCAATCTCCCACCCTAGTCCTCATCCGCAGGTCCAGCCCCGTCCAAATCGTCCCTAGTTACTCACCTGCGCAAGACCACACAAGACAAATGACCAAGTACAATCCCCATTGGGGTCAACACATCGCCCCTTCCCACAATCCTAAGTTGCCTTTGCCCTCCAATTCCCCTTATGAGTTCCCTTCCCTTTCCCACATGCAAGCCATGCGATCGCCTCAGTCATGCGTTCCGGGAGGATGGTTGAGTCAAACTGACCTTGTTACAAAAACAGCACTCCTTTCAACTTTCACAATAGTCTGGCGCTTTTCCTTTTTGGTGGCACAAGGGACCGTCTGCCCTCCCCTTGCCCTCGCTTCCCACCAAGTGAGGATCAAGTTCGTTTCCGTTCATCCCCTGACAATGTAACAGGTGAGGGGAGAGGTTAGTTATGCGCCATGGACAGGAAGGGGAGAGGGAACAGGTAAGGGTTAAGGAGTTTGAAGGAATGGGAAAAGAGAGAGAGAGAGAGAGAGAGAGAGAGAGAGAGAGAGAGAGAGAGAGAGAGAGAGAGA